TCTCACAACCCTGTGCTGTCTGACCATTTTTTTAATAACCTTTGAGTTTAAATTTTAACCGAGTACTCCACACCTGAAAAAAAATTTATTATAGTAGATCATTATCAGACGATGCTGTAACAACCTTTAAAGAATCTGTTCCACTTTAATTTGCTCATTATCACAAAAAAACAGAGTGGAGGGCAAAAATTTTGGTTTTTTCTCCTTCAAAAATTGATTCTCTTGTTCAGAGTGTTACTTCATTATTGCGTGGTGCATTAGACAATGCAGCCCCCTGAAAAAAGAAGGAAATTATTCATAGGGGGCAGGCTCCCTGGTTTTAAATTCAGAGCTGCGTACTTTAAACGCACAATGTTAGAAAATTGGAGTGAAAATGGCGCTCTACACACCTAGGGGTTCCTACTTAATCTGGAAAAAAATAGCCTACTGTTGTAAAAAAGACACTTCCCCAAGCTAAAACAGCTTATTTCTCATCCTTAATAGAAGAGAACAAGAATAATCCTAGGTTTTCTTTAGTACAGTTGCTAAACTTACACAGAGCATAGCTCTTTTTGAGCCATCCATTCCCTTAGCTCTCGCATCATGATTTTATGGGATTCTTCCAAAATAAAATTGATTCTTTTAAGAAGAAAATCTTTGACAATCTCCCAGAGATGATTTCACCTCAACAAGTGAACAACTTGGAAATAACTGTAAAACCCTGACTGTGTTTGGACTGTTTTGATCCGTGGAGTTCCTGAGTTATAGAAATATTAGCTTTATCTAACCTTCAATTTTTGTTAGACCCAATCCCAACCAAAATTATTTAAGGAAAAGTGTTCCCCTGTTACCAGCCTCATTTTGATAATTTAAACTATCCTTAGTAAATGGGTTGTCCACAAGCTTTAAGGTAGCTGAATTAACCTTTGCTTAAGAAACCTTTGCTTTTCGAGATGACTTAATAAATTACAGACCAATACCAATCTTTCCCTTTTTATCTAAAATTTTTTGGAAAATGTTGTAATCAAATGGGGAGCATTTACACAGCATGACTTTTGAAAGTTTTTAGTAGGTTTCAGAGCCATCATAGCACTGAAAAGCTCTGCTGAAATCACTAATAATTTTTATTGCCTCAGATAAGGGACTTGGTTTTCTGTTTTTGGTTCTGTTAATCTCGTGCTGCATTTGATACAGTCGATCATAATACTCTTAGAAAGGCTGGAAATGCTGTAGGGATCGGGGGACAGACGGGCGGTTTAAATCTTATTTGTCGACGTTCCAGTTTGTTCATGTAAATGATAAATCATTTTTAAATCCAGGGTAATTGGGAGTACCACGGGGTTTCAAAATTTGGGGCCCAAATTTCTCTTTACTATATATAGCTTCCAATGGTAAAATTTTTATCAGGCAGCCAATAGAAAAAATTTTTTACTGTTAGCTATGACACCACTTTCTTATCCTAAATCCTGATGAGCCCAACCGTTAGATAGACTAAAAGCTGTTTTGAAGACAAAAAATTTGGGAACTTTAAATTTTCTGCTTCTAAATTCAGACAAACAGAATTGTCGTCTTTGGCCCGGAAAAGTCTTTAAAAAAAAACTGTTTAGTCAATCACTTAACCTGGATGGCATTAAATTGACCCCGATAAAAAAAGAAAAAAACCCTTTGGGTGTTATTTTTGCCAGGACATGTCATTTAAAATCCCATATTAAACATTTTTTCCAGGATTTCCTTCTTTCATCTCCAGAACATTGCCAAAATTAGAAATATCCTGTCCAGGATTGATGCTGAAAAACTAGTCCATTTTTTGTTACTTCAAGGCTGGACTATTGTAATTTTTTACTATCAGGATGTCCAAAAAGCAGTTAAAAGCCTTCAGCTGTTAAATGCTGCAGCAAGAGTTCTGATGAAAATTTAAAAAAGAGAGATCAATTTTCCCCTACTTTAGCTTTCCCTTCATTGGCTCCCTGTTAAATCCAGAATAAATTTAAAAAATTCTCCTCCTCACATAAAAGCCCTTAATGATTTAGCTCCATCATACATCAGAGAGCTGATTGTTCCATATGTTCCTAACAGAGCACTTCGTTCTGAGACTGCAGGTTTTCTGGTGGTTCCTAATGTCTCTAGAAGTAGAATGGGAGGCAGATCCTTTTTTTATCAGGCTCCCCCTTTCCGTGGACCCCTCCCGTTTTAATCCGTGAGGCGGACACCCTGTCTCTTTTAAGGCTAGGCTTAAAACTTTCCTTTTTTTAAAGCTTATAGTTAGAGTGGCTTAGGTTACCCCTGAGCAAAATTCTGTAGTTATGCTGCTATAGGCTTGGGTGCTGGAGGACATAATGACCACTTTCACCCTCTTCGCTACTTTCTCACACTACTCTTCAATTTTTGTATTATTGCTGTTATTTCAGTTTTTAATTTTTGTTCCTCTCTTCTCTTTTCCAGAAGCTACCCCGGGCCGACTCTGGCTCTACCTGTGACAACTGTCTGGAAGGGGCATCGTCCGAGCTTCTGCTGGCAACAATTTTGGGGCTCACCCTCTACCGATGATCCACATGGCCCTGTTTTTCAGTGTTTAACCCTTTCTCTCCCCTAGACATAGCTACTGACGGAGCTTTTACTGTAACTAACTCTATGCGCTCTCTTTCAGACTCTAAATTAAAAACTGGCTCAGAGTTTATCTGTTCTTTCTTTCTAGGTGAAACGACTAAAGGAGCTACATCCAAAAACTTTTCCCTTTTTCCCTTTTCCCATAAAAGGACTCCTGGATCAGTGCTTTTTTGTTCTCTTTGTGTCTCTGCCTTTTCTCTCTAACCCCCCAGTCGTTTTGGCAGATGGCCCTCACACTGAGCCTGGTTCTGGAGGTTTTTTTCTGTTAAAAGGGGTTTTTCCCCTCCAAAGTCGCTACATGCATGCTCAGTATGAGGGGATTGCTGCAAAGTCAATGCCAGTGACTGTCCACTGTCTCTACATGCTCATCCAGGAGGAGGAATGCTGCAAGTAACTGACTGGATGCAATCTGCTGGGTTTCCTTAGATAGACAAAATTTTTATCCAATTTGAATAAATAACAGAATCTGACTGCACTGTTCAATGATTTGGATTAATTGTAATGCATGTGCCTGACTTTTGTGAAGTGCCTTGAGACGACATGTTTTTGTGAATTGGCGCTATATAAAAAAAACTGATTGAATTGAATTGAATTGAATTGAATTGAATTAAATTGAATTGAATGAATTGAATTGAATTTGAATTGAATTGAATTGAATGAATTGAATTGAATTTGAATTGAATTGAATTGAATTGAATTGAATTGAATTGAATTGAATTGAATTGAATTGAATTGAATTGAATTGAATTGAATTGAATTGAATTGAATTGAATTGAATTGAAGTCTGGCACTAACAAATATCCCGGTGTCCTGTATCCGTTCTTATTCTCAGTTTGAAATTCAGCAAGTTCTCTTTACCATATTTAGACCCCTAAATGCATTGAGTTCCCACCATGTGATTGGCTAATTTGCTATTTGTGCCAAAGAGTAATTGGACAGGTGTACCTAATAAAGTGTCCAGTGAGTGTATCTGCAACACGTCTCTTCGAAAGGTGTCTAGAAGGCACTGTTATAAAATGCCAAGACTCCCCTAACAAGCTTCTTCAGCCATGGACTAGCAGAAACTCTGTAGTACGCTTTTCCTAAATAGTGAAGCATTTCAGCCAGTCTCTGAGGTTACTTGTACCCATTCTGTGCAAGAAGCTCATTTGAGCTGCTTGTTTGTGAAATATTGTGCAAGAGACCAAAAGAGTTATTTAATTTAAATGTTCACCTTTCAGCTAAGTCGGGTTTCACTGTGAGAGACAGGTGGACTCTGCATCCCTTCAGCTGTAGCAACAGGCCAACCATCGATATTCAGAGGTCATTTGATCACCTGAGGTTCACCTGAGAACCAGGGCCTCAGACGTGAATGCAATATTTATAATTCTGGCCATTTCACACATTGCTATAAACTGTTTTCCGGGGCCTGCTAGAGATCCACCCTCAAATCAACAAAACATATAAAGAGTGGTCGGCTGTGCATCCTCGACTATCCGTTGGCTTAATAGTCGATCCAGTATTTCATGATTGGAACAAAATTGCATTGTTCCTCCTTGAACCAATTTTGACTTTTACAGTAGCTCGTAATCACGGGGTGAGCATAGTTTTTCACATGCTGCTTTTCAATTTTGACTTTTTTTTATAAACAACTGGCAATGTTGAATCTGTGGGAATCTCAACTGTGTGCATTTGTGTTTGGATATAAATACTTTCAAATGCTTTTTAAGACTTGATCATTTTTTTTAATGTCCCAATGTTCTTTAGAGAACAGTGATGTATTTTATTTTTTAATCTTAGGTGTAGCTTTTTAGGTTGAGGAGAGAAACATTTTGGAAGTTCAAAGTAATTCTCATCTTTGCCAATAAATAATACACAGGAGCTCGTTGAAGAATTAGAAAATTATTTGGGGATAAATAGTAAGATGAAGTGCAATAAACCGCATTGGAGCAGCAAAACTGTTATTTCTCAATAAAAGCATTACACTAACTGTGCAAAGCTTTTATTAAAACTGCTTTATCAAGGTAAAAAACATTTTTAATAGAGGTTCCGATGGTTGGGTACTTCTTGGTGTAATTCTTCCTTATGTCTCATGACCAGAGGCAGCTGGGACTTTGGTCCCATCCACTTGCCTATAGAATAAAAATTACCTAAACTTCAGTCAGTCAGTCATTTTCTACCGCTTATTCCATAGTGGGTCGCGGGGGAGCTGGTGCCTATCTCCAGCAGTCTATGGGCAAGAGGCAGGGTACACCCTGGACAGGTCGCCAGTCCATCGCAGGGCAACACACAAACAACCATGCACACACTCATTCATACACCTAAGGGCAATTTAGAGTGACCAATTAACCTAACAGGCATGTCTTTGGACTGTGGGAGGAAGCCGGAGCACCCGGTGAGAACCCACGCATGCATGGGGAGAACATGCAAACTCCATGCAGAAAGACCCCCGGCCGGGAATCAAACCCAGGACCTTTTGGCTGCAAGGCAACAGTGCTAACCAACTGCGCCACCGTGCAGCCCAGTTACCTAAACGTCAATTATAAATTTATTATATATGTAATAAACAAAATATTTCAGAACATTTATATTTTTATATTTATATTTATATTTTTGTCAGCATATCACAAGTAACTGAAAACAGAGATTTCAAACTATCTTGACGTTTATGTTGGAAAATAATAATGTCTGCGTGAGGGACATCAGCTTTTAGTTATGAATTCTGTTATCCTACTTTGCTAAAAGTAGGACACCTTAGGCTTCTCACTTATTCATCTGTTAACTTTTTCAAAAGGTATTACCCTGGTACCCAACTTCACTGTTACAGGTAACACTGCCACTATAACCTTGAAAAATAAGAAAATATACAATCTTCAAGAAATAAACATAACATGATATGTGAATATTCTAAACCCCAATCAGTGGTTTTATTGTCCTAATTTAACAAAGTAGGAAGAATTCTGCAAACAGGTCTTGTACTACGTTCCACTGACTCGTGACAGTCAAACTTACAAACTCGAGGTCACAAAAATTACTTACAATTTAGCTCCCTTTATTTTGTTTTTCAGTTGGCTATCCTGGGAAAAGTTACTGTCTCTTCTAAATTATCACTGACCAGGCCTAGGAACTTAAGAGTAACTAAGTAAAGACTAAGCATTTAATGTTATGTAATGATTTCCTTCTTATGTTGAGCACAGTATATTTCCCAAGTAAATGGGATTTCAATCTCTTGAAATGGTCAGAAAGGTTAAGTATCTGAATGATTAAGTATCTAAATATCTCTAAACCTGGAGGCTTAATGCACATTGTGAACATCAACAACCTTCAGGTCTATTCGAACCTACCCTCTAAAGTGTGAATGTTCATACTACTGAGTGGTCAGTTTGAGCTCTTCATGAATTTAAAAGAGTAAAAATTGTGAGAGGTGTTGATTATAACTGGTCCTATTTGAGGCTAAAAAAAAGGATCATATCATTTACGACATAATTCAGCATCAATAATCTAATGTAAGAGGTGCACTTTAAATGCACGATGAGATTGTCAACGTGGCCATTATAAGAGCGGAGAACTGGTGGTTGAAGTTAAACACATCTTTACTGTTAATACTCACAAACGGGCCAGTTAAACAAACTTAAAAAGCTAAATTCACCACCACTGTCCAACTGTCAAAGGACTACTGTCACCTTATTGTGCTGGACAGATTTACTCCTAAAACATACACTGTCACCAAGCTCTCTCTTAGTGTGTGCGCACATTAAAGTTAGGTATTTTGTGGGTCATCCTTAAAGCAAAAAACATTTTAGCAAGGGGTGGTCAGATGGGGCATTTTATGTAGTGTAAAGCAGCTAAGCTTGTGCACCTTCTGCAAGCAGCATTATTGCCACAGGTGTCGCATTCATAACTCATGCTATGGATGATCCTATAATCACAAAGGTCTGAGCTGCATTCCGGCAAATAATCAACCAGCAAACAAAAGAGCCGGTAAAATGGAGTTTTGCCGAAAATTTAACCTGGATGGCTCACACCCTCCTCTGCTCCGTCCAGTGACTCCACCATGCATCCCCACTCCAACCAATCAGCTTCGAGTCCGCATTTCCTCTTCAGCCAATCACCGTCCAAGGCTCTGCTTTAAAGATCTTCACTTACGGACTTCCTCGCTCTTCAAGCTGAGCTGTGACCCTCCTCCTCCATATCTCCACCATCTGGCTTCCTTGGTCCTCCTGATTTCCCAATCTCCTCAGGCCTCCACCACCAGTCGGTTCATTTCCAAGTGCTAATAAGAGGAAATGAGCAATCAAAGCTTAAACCTAGCTGTTTGCAGCACGGGAAAGACACGTGCATTGATGTAAACCTTGACTCATTTCGCATGACTGTGTCAGCCAATACATTTCTTAAATGATTAGTTTAGATGCTTTAATGCATTCCACAATACAATGTTGCTATGGACTATTTAGTACTTTGTCTGTTGTGCTGTTGTTATTTTGTATTAAAAAACATATAAATAGGTCAGGCAAGACCCCTACCACCCTACCACCCGGTTTCACCTCTATGCTAATGTATATTGTACAACAATAGGTCTGGTCTGCATATGAACAACTATTAATAAGTGCTAAAGGGAGTTACTAACAAAGTTACAAATTTTAATCAAAATTACTAAGTCAAGGCACCACCTGGTTATCAGGAAATGAAATAATAGCCAAACAGCTCTTAGTCTTTCAGTTATTGTTTTATGAATACCTGTCTGGTGAGGTGTGGTATTATAGAACAATAGATGGAGTGAATTTCTACCCTGGGCGTCTCAAACAGCAAGTACTACACACATACAAAGAACTACCAAAATAATGAACTATGGGAGGAAAAATATTGTAACAAGGAACAAAAAAGAATAAACGTCAACCAATGACCAATAAAATATTGCAGTGATATCACAGTTCAGTGTGGATATGTTTAAGAACCAATGATTGTTTTGAGGAATTGGGAATGCAGCCAGATTAGATGTAAAAGTTAACAGAACAACAGTTGCAATGTGTTTCAACAACCTGTTCACAATGTAAAGCAGAAGAAAGAAATGCATTATTTTTATTAAATAATGTTTCTAAAATCATTTGCTGAATTAGACATCAGTAACATTTTGGACAATGGATTCTTAATGTTTTGTTAATGGCGTGCTGCGGTTGATCTCTATGCAAACAAAACGAGCTATGCTACAAACACAGCACAACTGCTGGTGGCTAATACCTTAGCATTAGCAGAGCTTTAGCTTTAGCATTAGCAGCTGGGATAACGGAGACAATTAACTATGTTAAGAAGGACTAAGCAGACATATTTTATGTAGGTTAGAGCTAGAGAGGAAGATAAAAAAAGACAAAACGGAGAAAGCTCACATTATTGGTCCATTAGTATTTAAACCACTCACTGGAATAAAGTTTGACACAACTTTAAAGTACAAGCACAAAACAAATTTCGTAGCATCAGGTTAGAAAATTCAATCGAACAGTTAAGCACCACAAACACAAAAAACAATGAAATAAACAATATTTAAATTGTTTTATCCTTTATCAATTTTCTTTGACCAATCACAGCCTCTGTGGCGGCCTCTCTCAGTCTAGCTGCTGGGACAAACGTCTCCTCGGACTGGCCAACACGTCAAGCGTGCAGAGCTGTGGTTCCAAATGCTGTCTTCAGGGCAGTGGAAGGAAGTCTGCTTCATAATTAGAAAAAACACATCTCTTTTTGGAGAATTTTAGCTCATATTGTTTAATTCAGAAGCTCAGATACGCAGTTTCAGGTGGTTACTCTTATTTTCGGCCAGGTACAGTCACCCAATACACAAAAGTACTGTGCTTTACTTTGAATCGATCGAAAGTTTCTTAAAATATACACTCAGCCAGTGAGATTGAGATGATCAGGCATGTGTCCTTCCCAATGCAGCCTGTGGTGAACTACAAAAAAAAAGGCAAAAATACTGCTGGTGCAAAGTTTTGCAACTCTATGACGTCACGATGATTCAAGCTGTTACTCCTCCTTCCTGGTAGCTGTCATGACAATGGGTTAATACTGTGCATTTTGAAATTTAGGGTGTTTTTACCAGTATCTTGTATTCTCTGTGTGTAGTTCAGTCCTTGTTTCATCCCATAGCTGGGTCTAACATGTACAAACCACCACTAAAGAATATGCTGCTACATGGAATTGTTATAATGCAGAGAAGTATGTTACTGCATTCCTGCATCATACACAGCAAATTTTTAAATCTTCCTTAAAAGAGGCACTTAGTCATCTGTGTGAAAAGAGTCATTATTTTTCTTTTCAGTGTTTGATCTTTTTAAATCTGTATAGCTCACCTAAGTAATTAATCCTGCAAAAGTATGAAAGTAATATATCAATGGAAGGAACAGAGGAGAAAATCTAGCCTTGCATTGTACATCCCAGGAACATCATCTGAGCTATAAAAAATTGGAGACTGAAAAAAGCCCATAAATATTATCTCGGTCAGTGAAATTAGAAAAGCAGTCTCCCATCACTGGTTCGCATCCATAGGTGCTGAAGACTATGAGGGTGAGAGATAGCAGATGAAAGGAACAGGATGACAAGTTGAGAAAAGGGAGAATATGACAACCAGAAGGCTGCACGTGGGAAAAGGGTCAAAAATCACAATTTCTACAATAATAATTTCTACCCCTAAACCATGTGTGGAAAGTGCAGTTTCTGAGCCAAATGTCTTCTCAGGTTATTTAAAGTATGCACCTTCTCATGTTTTATCATTTTATAATGGTCAGTTGTTACTTTATTGATACTTCTAAAATTAAAATTAGATGACTAGAACATTGATTAATTAATTCATTTATTATCAAACTGTTAAATATTCAATATGTCAAGAGGCAGACTTGCATATAGAAAACCACAAAGTCCTGATGATTTTACACCTCCTATGAATAATACAGCAGTCATTCAAAACTTCTCCAGGGATGCACGGGTAAGTGGGCTAAACAAATGGAAATTCATATTGCATGAGGTTGTTGTGCATAAGGACACACAGTATGTGTATATGTGCAAAAGCAAAAGGGTGCAGGTCGTTGTTGTTGAGCATTTGTTTACAATTTGACATTTCCATTTAGTTTCATGTTGAATTGTAGTGAAATAACATGAGTGCAGTAAATTGCTCTTGTGGGGGTTAACAATTTGAAAATATGTCAATTGGTGTCTTACATGCTGCACTTAAATCTGAGTATTTTGGAGCTTCTTTTGGGAGCCAAACATAAAAATGTCTCTATTTAGGTTTAAAATGGAATTTAGTTTAGTTTAATTTGATTCCTTTTTTTATGCAAATAAGTCTAGTCATTACTCCTGTTCATACCTCTGCTTCAAAGGTGTGATCTGGATGCAGCTTTCAGCCAGGTCACCGCCCCCCCTCCCTTTTTTTTTTGTTGCCCCTATGGCACATGCTGTGCTGGACTATTCAAGTTGCATTGAACAGGCTCAAATAGGAACACAAACCCATGTTTTTACATGGCCCATTATC